CCCTGGCACTGGCATGTTTAGTGTGGGAGGCCAGCTTTGCACTGCACTACGTGAATATCATCACAACCTCTTGGGACCTAGGCAATTCTGACCAGAAGCGGGAGAGGGTACCTAACAAAACTAGGTATCTGGCTTCCCCTCAAAAAAAATGCCCAAAAGTGTTACAGGACAGGGAGGAGGACATAAAATGAAACTGACGTTTCGCTTTAAATTCAGTTTTTTAACAGGCGCCCATAATGGTGGAGTGCGCCTGCTTTTGGCATACATATACATGTGGTGCAGAAGAACATTTCTAATTCAGAATCCTTACCTGTACATAATGTAACAGATCTGGTTAAGGTTCACACAGTCTTTGCAAAGAAGAGCCGGATAGAACACTCCAGCAGGAGGAAGGACGATCAGAGGTAAAGAAAAACATACATATAAATCAGAAACCTGTATAAAAAAAAAAAAAAAGTCAGTCTGTCATTTTGAGTGTATAAAAGTAATCCTGAAATTAAAAGAAAATCAAATAATGTTTAGAAACTACCTACAAATGTACCTTCTTTTTAATCTGAAATGTCTTAAAGCTGTACTCCACCTTTCTCCCCCAACACTAGTGCCAAATTCTCTCCTGGGTTGACGTATGTTACTCTAAACTTCCCTGCACACATTTGGTAATGGGAGGGGCAATTGGAGAACAAGCGAAGGTATTATATGTGTACATTACTAATATGCACATTATTACAATTTATAATATTATATAAATATATATATTTATTATATACACATTATAAATATTATAATTATTACATTAATAATAATAATAATAACACACACACATATATATATATATATATATATATATATATATATATATATATATACACATATACATATATATATATATATATATACACACACACACACACACACACATATACACACACACACACACACACACACATACATACACACACACATATACATACATATATACACACACATACATTTATATATAAATAAATTAAAAGTCTCTTTTGGTGTATAGGCGAAAAAAAAAAAAAAAAAAAAAAAAAAAAAAAAAAAACATCATGCGTCTCTTGAATGGTGAGAAGATAGGAGACATGGGTCACGAGGGGGAACCTGACTGACAGGATCATTTGATTTGAACTTTTTAATTTTTAAACTTTTTTTTTTTTTTTTTTCCACCACATACCGTCACCCTAGCAGTACAGGGTCACCATAGTGACACTGTACTACTTGTGGGGGGTGATGAAGATTTTTTTTTTTTTTTTTTACACGGATTGCTTTTACACCCATATAGGATGTAAAAGCAATCATTTCTCTCTCGGTCTGCATTCTTGCAGCCATTGAGAACTACTGAGTGATTGGTCACAGCTTGTCACATGGTACAAGGCTGTTGTAAATAGCCTTGTACCATGTGACCTCTGTGATCATTCACAGATTTCACACGTAGTAAGCAATGATGTCACAAGTGCCATCTTGCTTACTACTTTGCATGTGATCACTGATTGGCCAATCAGTAATCACATAATCAGGAGCTCGTACAGAGGTCCCGTCCGACGATTGGTGTTTCACTGTGTCCGGAGGACACAGCGGGCACCGGATCGCGGTGCTGCGCGCTCCCAGGGAGTTTATAAACGGCCACCCGACCCTGCAGTGCCACCATCCGGCCGTTTATATACAACGGCCGGACGGGAGGTGGTTAAGAAGCAAGGAAATTACCATCTTAGCCCCCGTTTGATCTGAAGCTGCCATGGTGCTGCACACGTGGTCAGCTAGAACACCAGCCAATTGATGGCTTGACAGTTCAAGTGAGAGCCCACATAAGCACTGCTCTAACGAGCCGGGCCCTCGGTTTCCTCTTGTACCAAATTGTATTGTAACTGTAATGTCGGCCTTCATTTTGTAAAGCGCTGCGCAGACTGTTGGCGATATATAAAGCCTGAATAATAATAATAAGCGCACCAATAAAATGTAACAGATAATTCACGGCATGTCTTGAATAATTTAACCGATATGGGAAACAAAAGCCCACCTCTGGGCTGGGCCCGCACTGCACAGGGCCAACTGCTTGTTTTGTCTAGGGGTGAGCAGAAAGCTCATACCTCACTCGATCCTTCGATTCTCCAGTAAACCGCATTCCCCTACGGTCCAGTGGTGGACTGTTCCTGGTCTATGGCACCTAATCTGGGTGTGATGAAGACAGGAAAAGTCCACTATTCAAGACCGCTGGAGCACGGGGGTATCAGGCCGGTCTTGTGCTGTAAAGACTGGAGGATCAGGTCAGTATATCTCCGCTCTCCTCTCCCCTAGAAAACAAAACCCATGCAGTATGGGGCACAGCCCACGATTTTTTGCACAGAGTTGGGCTTTAAATTGGTGGGATTAGTTCAGATTTAATATGGAATATATTATAACATACAACAAGCAGTCGCTGAAAGTAAAAAGGTACATTTCTTACCAATGTATAGAAGTCCAGGACAGACTGCAGAAGGAGAGAAACTGTTATGCATCTGCAAGCCCACAGTACATAAACGTCCGGTAAACTGAATCATATTTTCAACTGAAGTCATCAACCCAGACATGGTGTCATTTCTGTGTGAGACGCAAAAATATAAAAAAAATGTCAAAGTTTAGACTGGGCCCTTGACCTATCAGTGTTGCCTATGAAAATGGTCTGCAATGGTGTCACAAAGACATATGTAAACACAGGGCAAGTATGTCCAACAAGTACATGAGTTGTGACGGGAGTCACTTTGGGTGGGGAGCCCATGGAACCCAGCTCACTTTGGAGAGGTGGGGAGACCCCTGTCTCAGCTCCCCATATCCCTATTATGTGTAAGTCACCCTGTGCCTGTTAGGACAGATCACCCTGTACCCCTAAGATTGGGGTGGGGGGTTGTGGATTGTTTAATGCTGAGTGGTTGCATCCCATTGTTCTATTGTGTGTCTTGCTTGGGAGCAAACTATTATGGGATGTATGTGTTTATGTGTATTGGCTTGGTGGGGGGGGGGGGGGGGGCGTCACCAGCAGCCCTCTCCCCTGATGGGACTGTCTGTTGGTGTGTCTCGTTACTAAAAAGGTAGATTGCCCCACCCTGTGTAATTTTGCAGAAAGGGGGCGGGGGTTGTTCCCTTGAATGTATAGATCTTGTATCTGTGTTAAAATACAGTAGTCTATTTCCTGGTTTTACTTCAAGACTGGTGTCGCCTAGTCTCGTATGGTCAGCGGTGGTGTCTGTTGTCGGTGTTCTGACGGGGGAAGCGATCGTCTAACGGAAGTCCCCAAGTGCAGTCTGGGTCCGGTTCCGTTACATGAGTGTTCTAATGTTTCTGCAGGTAGTGACTTCTGATCCAGTACATAAAAGGCAGACTGCTCCATCTTGTTCCCAGTTGATAGTACCCAACCAGGCATATGAAATTTTGCATGACCAGAAATCATTATGGTTTTGGCGTGAGCCTTCCGATACAAGGTCCCGATGATGGACTCTTACCTACTCAGCAAAAACACCTGAAGAGAAAAACCTACCGAATGTTTTCAGGTTTTTGTATATTGAATCGCTAAAGGACTGAGATTGGCAGCTGCATTAGCCATTGCCTTGCTAAGAGAAAGGACAGAGGTTGTTCGAGAGCCTAGAGGCAGGGCATATACCCAGAGGTATCGGAAGCTCCTTTGGTTGTTTTTCAGTTCCTAAATCTTTCTCTAAATCTTGGGTACAATGGATTGACGTTTTAAAGAGAATCTGTACTATGGCAGCAGTGTCCAGAAATGGCATGAAGAGGACAAAGGGGTAGTCATTAGTACGGCCTGTTGGCGGATCCCTGCAGCTGATCCTATTCCCATTATGGTCTTACCACACCCCGTTCTGCACTGTCTCCCTTGGTGGAGTTGGCCTTCCTGGTGGAGGAGCGGGGCTTTGCTTCCCAATGTCAGAGCTGTCTCTCCGATGACCTGACAAGTGCTGGGGTAATGGTAAAGAAGCAGCAGAAGGGGTGGAGGAAGTGCAGATTCACATGACTGATAAAGCAGAAGCGGTAGTGACATCACGATATCTCTCTCTAAATCTGAGACTAGCAGTCCGAGGCAGCAGTACCTTAGATCAGGGGTCTCCAAACTTTCTAACCAAAGGGCCCGGTTTACTGTGTTTCACACTTTAGGGGGGTCCGAACTGTGGCCCATGAAAGTAGAAAATGTCTTGGCGCTAGTGGGCGAGGAACAACGGTCCCCTTGGCGCCCGTGGGCGAGGCACAACGGTCCGCCCTTGGCGCCCGTGGGCGAGGCACAACGGTCCGCCCTTGGCGCCCGTGGGCGAGGAACAACGGTCCGCCCTTGGCGCCCGTGGGCGAGGAACAACGGTCCGCCGCCGGCGCCCGTGGGCGAGGAACAACGGTCCGCCGCCGGCGCCCGTGGGCGAGGAACAACGGTCCGCCCTTGGCGCCCGTGGGCGAGGAACAACGGTCCGCCCTTGGCGCCCGTGGGCGAGGAACAACGGTCCGCCGCCGGCGCCCGTGGGCGAGGAACAACGGTCCGCCGCCGGCGCCCCGTGGGCGAGGAACAACGGTCCAACGCCGGCGCCAGTGGGCAGGAACAACGGTCCGCCGCCGGCGTCAGTGGGCGAGGAACAACGGTCCAAACTGGCGTCAGTGGGCGAGGAACAACGGTCCAACGCTGGCGTCAGTGGGCAGGAACAATGGTCACAATAGGCACAGGAAGTGTACAGCTATTTTTCAGGAGGAAATCTATCTGCTATAGAATAGCAAATTTTTTTCTTTTTTTACATTCAGGTCCACTGAAAAGCACCAGTGCAGATGCTGCGGTTGTTAAATCAGCACAATGTTTTAGAAAACCTAGATATAACAAAGCAGCTCTGAAAGTATAAAAAACACATTTAGGTGTGCAGAGAGCATATTATTTGGGTTATTTCTTACTTATTTTCAACATTTTCTATGAAGACCGAATGCTTGATCATCCAGTTTTTCAGCAGATTCTTCAGACTCTTAAGCACATCGACCTGTAATAAAAACAAAAAACATTCAGGCTTCATAAACTTTTTTTTTTAGAAATCATTCATTTTGCACCTTCCTTATTCACGTTTACTGTGTTGGGTGCCTTCGCTACCCCCGCCCCCCCATGTCCCTTTGAAACACTAATGATATCATGGGAAGGAAGAGGTCGCAGCCGGGGAAGCAGGCAGAAGACTCACACAAAATGTGCTGCATGTTGATTTTGCTTTGGAAGACAAAAAAAAAAAAAAAAAAAAAAAAAAAAAAAATTTAGGGTACAGATGGCAAAACAGGTAAGCATAAACACACTTGGTTTACTGCTTTTGTTTTTTTCTTTTTTAAATCAGCAACAGAGTAATTTAACCCCTTGCCCTCCAGAGGATTTACCCCCCTTCCTGACCAGGCCATTTTTTGAATTACATTAACTGACAATTGCGCGCGGTCATGCAACGCTGCACCCAAATTAACCATTTGCCGCCCGCCCTATGGCCGAATGGCGGCCGGCAAATGTCATCAGCGTTCCGGGTGGACGCCATAAAAAAAAAAAAAAAAAAATTATATATATATATAGTTTTTTTTTTCCCCATACTGTCACCAGTCAGTGTCCCTGATCACCGCCATGCCAGTTATATGATGACGCTGTACTGCACTGGTGACAATATGTAAAAAAAAAAAAAAAAAAAATAGTGAAACTAATTTTTTTAATTTTTTCATTTTTTACGAAAAATGACAAAAAAAATACAACTTCAAAAAACTCGCCATGGCTCTTATGAAGTACGTCGGACTGTCTACTTTGCAAAAAGGGGTCATTTGGGGGATATCTGTCCTGTCATTTGGGGGATATCTGTACCGTCCTGACATTTGGGGGGATATCTGTACAGTCCTGACATTTGGGGGATATCTGTACAGTCCTGACATTTGGGGGATATCTGTACAGTCCTGACATTTGGGGGATATCTGTACAGTCCTGACATTTGGGGGATATCTGTACTGTCCTGACATTTGGGGGATATCTGTACTGTTCTGACATTTGGGGGATATCTGTACAGTCCTGACATTTGGGGGATATCTGTACAGTCCTGACATTTGGGGGATATCTGTACAGTCCTGACATTTGGGGGATATCTGTACTGTTCTGACATTTGGGGGATATCTGTACAGTCCTGACATTTGGGGGGATATCTGTACTGTCCTGACATTTGGGGGATATCTGTACCGTCCTGACATTTGGGGGATATCTGTACCGTCCTGACATTTGGGGGATATCTGTACTGTCCTGACATTCTTGGACCTCAAGAAATTAGATTGGCTGTCAGTACTTCAGGATTGATCAATATTCAGATCTATACCATAGTTTGTGAACTCTATAACTTTCCTACAAACTAAATAATACATCCTAATTTGGGTTATTTCACCAAAGACATGTAGCAGAATACATCTCGGCCTAAAATTTATGAAGAACAATTATAATACAGTAGTAAAATGACACATGCCTACAATTATTCAACCCCTTTAAAGACTTGCAAACTTTTATAACAGAAACAAAGAAAAACGTGCGTTTTTTTTTTAAAATTTTGTCTTTTTTTGTTAATTTAGCAAAAATTAAAAACCCCAGCGGTGATTAAATACCACCAAAAGAAAGCTCTAGTTGTGTGAAGAAAATGATAAAATTTTAGTTTGAATGACAATTGCGCGGTCATACAATATTGTACCCAAAGTGTGAGAGCGCTGAAACCTGAAAAATGGCCTGAGCAGGAAGGTGTAAAATTGCACGGTATTGAAGTGGTTAAATTTACATCTTCTCCCCCCCCCCCCCCAAATAATAGAGCTTTTTTGCGGGCGGCACAGTGGCTAGCACATCTGCCTTGCAGTAATTGGGTCTTGGGTTCGATTCCCGACCATGGCGCCTCCTGCCTGGAGTTTGCATGTTCTCCCTGTGCTTGCGTGGGTTTCCTCCCACACTCCAAAGACATGCTGGTAGGTGAATTGTCTCCTGTCTAAATTGGCCCTAGTATGTGTATGTATGAATGTGAGTTAGGGACCTTAGATTGTACACCCCTTGTGGGTCAGGGACTGATGTGAATGTACAATATATATGTAAAGCGCTGCGTAAATTGACAGCGTTATACAAGTACCTGAAATAAATAATAAATAAAATTTGATTTTACTGTGCGTTTTTTCTTTTCTGAACTATAAAAAAAAGAAAAAAAAAAAAAAAAACACACGATTTTTGACTTTTTGCTATTAAACGTGTCCAGTAAAATTTTTTAAAAAAAATCAAATTTCCACCAAAATATAGGTCTTTGCTATAAAAAGAAAAAAAATAAATAAATAAATAATCCCAATACATGTAAATTATTTGGTTTACGTGAAAGTTATAGAGTTTACAAATGGCGGTATATATAGTGGGATTTTCTTTCTTTTTTTTTTTTAACTAGT